CTGGAATAGACTATGTATCCTCAAATGCATCCTCAGGCTTCCGTCAGTAGGAAGCAGCCAGCCACTCTGTATCCCATACAGATATCTACCCCACTTCAAAAGAGGATTAAACTTCATATGGATTCCATAAAGGGGACTTCCCAGTCAGCCTATCCCTGTTAAAGGAGGCAGTAAAATGTTGCCTCCTGGGTCTACCTCTGGTCTCCTCAGAGAGTGCCTCCAAAGGGATAGGTCCTTTCTCCCTGTAGACACAGGGGTACTCTACACCATGGCCCTGCTGGCTCCTCTCCTTCTATTAGGCATACAGAAAAGACACCAAACCCTAAACAAGAGTGGTTCACCTAAAAGAACTTTAAGAACTGTCTGGGAAAATGTCATCTGTGATCTCTCTACACAGGATTGTCACTATTCTCTGAAGTGTCACAGGGAGAACACACACACACACACACACACACACAGGCACGCACCCATCACCTCCCTAGATCCTTACCGACTCAGGTTTCTCTCATCCACCTTTGGATGTGAGCAAAGGCGCCAACCCCCTCACTCCCTCCCTTGCGTAGTATTTTCTTAAGAGCGAGTACTATTCCAGAAGCTATAACTGTTTCCCATCTGGACCAAGCAGCAAAAGCCTTTGCTATTGTATTACCTGGTAGAGTCTGTCCCAGCATCAACATTTCCTCGTGGGGGGATGCAGGGCATGTCCACTGAGACACGCCGGGACCCCCACGTCCACACGGAGTGCGCGGCTAGCACACACGCACGGAGTGCATAACGAGATCTGCATCCCTGCAGCAGACGGCCGGGCCGATATATTGCCCGTGAAACCATCCAGTCTGGCCCAGGAAACCTCTGACAAACACTGAGCTTACCCCATCTCTCGCTAGTCGCCCTTCCACCACTAGGCTGGGTCTAGCAGGAAAATAAAGTGGTTAGAGACGCCCCTTCCCCATTCCTGGAGCACTCAATCTCTCCCGTCGCAACACAGCGCGCTAACAATCCTCAGGCATTTAAAACTACCGCAAAGCATCCTAACAAACCTCATTTTTCCGTCGCCCTAAATCCAAGTAGATTGCAGAGAATAAACGCACTAGGCAGCAGGAGCTAGAACCTTATAACCTCACCTGCTGTGGTTCTCCCATCAGCATCGCAACACACACATACACACACATACATACACACATACAACCTTCCACTCCTGCACCTCTACTCCCAGGGTCTCAGGAGTAGCCGCGGTGACTTCCACTTACTTCATAAATAAGTGTGGCCCTCCACCATTTGGCGCTCGGCTTCAGCTATGGATTCGGACATTCAGCCCCCATTCACTTGGCTTCATTGATCTCCAGCAGCAACATAGTTACTTTCTCTTTTGCTACACTGTAAATGTACGGTTCTGTGGGGGCTGGCCGGCGGCCGACCGACCGCGAGGAAGGCCAATCGGAATCTGCAGAAACCCGATCACCACCTCACAGAGGCCTGGGGCCAATGGGCGGCCAGAGAGGGCGGATCCTGGGGGTGTGGCCTCGCCTCTTTAAGGAGGGGTTATCCGACTCCGCTTTGGGTCTTCTGTGTTATAACACGGGCGGTGATGTCATTGGCAACCAATCAAAAACTTAAAAGGGCCAGCCCGGGCCCGCGCGGAGCAGCTGCTCTCTATTTACACGTAAACCAAACCAGCAGGCTGCAGTTAACCCTTTCCGGGGCTGAATTGTCAATGGGCTGGACTCGCCGCTCCTGCTAACCTGGCTCATTCCGCTGAATGGGACGCCCCCTACGCCCCCTCACCAAGGGCCAGATCATGCTGTCATTTTATTTTTTTCTTTGTACTCTTGAATGGGTTATCAAAAGTACGGGAGTAACTTTCTAAACGCAGGACAGTAAGAGAACAGTCACCATTCCTAGTGGGAACCGGGTTCTCTGGGTCGCTCCTAGTGACTTGACAAATCCCAACTCAAGATCCACGAACTTCGAGGGGGGTCTGCGCTCGGAACCGACCGGACTGCGCTGTGAGGGGTAACGTCTCTCCTCTCAACCGCTGCTGAGCCGCGCTCTGGAAGCCTGAGCTCCCGCACGGTTAGCGAGCCGGCCCGCCCTCCCTGGGCACTGAGGCCGCGTCCTCTGGCGGGCACCCGTTTTTCCACGCGCCGTGGGACGCGTCCGCCCGCCCGCAGATGTCGCTGCCCCTCCGGTTGTCCTACTGCTGCCCAGCGCCATCGTCGCACCCGTCGTTGGGGCTACATGGCACCATCCAGCTCGGCTTGGTTTGGTCCCCCATCACGCCCCCGCCATTGCCCGTCTGTGCCCAGGGGCAAGAGCCCAAGAGCTGAGGCAGCGCCCTGGGAGCCTCCTCGGAGGCGGAGGAATTGGCCGAGTCCACAGGCAACTCTGGCTCTCTGGGTCCGGTGCCTCGGCGCTCGCCGCGTCCCAGCGGAAGCCCCGCGAGCAAGCCCCAGACCACCGCCTCCTCTCCCGCTGACCAAGCGGGGTCACGGCGCAGCGCCGGTTGTTCGGCGCACTCTGCCGCACTTGAGGCCCCGCAGGGCCCCCGCCGAGGCCAGGACTGCTGGCTCGGTGCTTCTGGAACAGTCGCCGCCGGCGGAAAGGAGCAGGAGCCGGATCTAATTAACCAGATTGAGTGCCGCCAGCCGAGCGTCCAGGGAACAGAGCCGCTTGACTCAATCCCAGTGATCTGGCAATCCAAGGGGTCTCCGGCCGCGGCGCGCGCCTGGCGGAGAAGGGTAGGGGGCGAGGCTGGCAGGCCTGCGCCCCGGCGGGAAAAGATCAGGGAAATTGCGGGAAAGTTGCCTTGGGCTACACAAGGGAGTGCAAATGTCAAAATGAAGTGCAGAGAGTCTGCCTCAAAGAAGAACACTAAAGAGAGCTTTTTTTTTTCCTTTTTTTTAATTTTCATTTTTTTAAAATTTTGTCCCCCTATCCTGTCTCAGGGAGGCGCGGGGTGGGGTGGAATGAAATAATTTCAGTAGAATAATACATTACGAGCACTGTGAAATGTTTGGCTATGATTGTTCGCTTACCAAATTGAAGGTGTTTGGAAACGTATTTTAAGCCCTAGGCCTAATAAGTAGGCTAAGTGGCAGCGATGTACTCATGTAATTTTTTAAAGTATTGATCTGAAGTCAGGAAATGCAAAAAGAGCTGTTGGAGAGAAATTCCCTTGGGAACTTCTGAAAAACAATTATAATATCACATACATGCATACTAAGACACATTCCTGCTCTTCACACCATTGTTTGGCACGCATTGCATGCATAAAATCATCTTAAACAGGAAAGGATTTTGTGTTCCTTGCTCAGCCATGTGCCAACACAAGCACACATTCACCCCTTTAATAATAACAACTAAGGAGTACTTATCGCACACCATTTGGTCACTACACCTTTGAGGATTAAGAGGTCATGGCCAGGAAAATTGGATTCTGGGTAATTTCCATAGACATCAGTAAAGAACTTCCCAGAAGATCTACCCTGTAACTATTTGGAGCAGGAAGGCTGCAAGCCAGCTTTGCCCTAACAAGAACTTACCGCTAAACGTTCATAACTCATGATGATCTGGATATAAGTCCTGAATTTGATTCTCATCTCTTGTATCTCTTCATACAGAGCATGTGTTCATTTATTTTTCTCTAAAATGGTAATAGTACAGCTCAATATATAAAAGAAAAGTATTGCACAAGTTTTCAGGGGAAAAAATTCTCTATTGATGAAAGGCATTCAGTAAAAAAAGCTTTGTCCTTCATTTAGTAATTTTTTTTTAGATAAAAATACTTATATAAAAGGAGCTCTGGTGGTGCAGTGGTCAAAGTATTTGACTGCTAATCAAAAGGTCAGAGGTTCAAATCCAACAACCAGTCCAAGGGAGAAAGGTGAGGCAGTCTGCTTCCATAAAGATGTATAGACTTGGAAACCTTATGGGGCAGTTCTACTCTGTCCTACAGGGTCACTAGGAATCAGAATGGACTTGATGGCAGTGTGTTGGGTCTTTTGTATTTTGTTGTTGTTGTTGTTACCTGCTGGCGAGTCAGACTCGACTCACAGAGATCCCTCC